TATATCTTTATGTTTGAAGCCTGAAATGTGGCAAAAGGTTGAAAAGTTCAAGGGGGCCGAATACTTTCGCAAGGCACTGTATTTCAAGGCAGGGATCTAGAGAGGAAAATTCTTCTGCTGAAGTGAATATAAAACAGATATTGCAGACTACATCAGATTAGTTAGCAAGACAGTTACTGTAGATCATTCAATTCACTTTATTTTCTACATTACTAATTATAGAAAATCCAAACATGAGATCAAAAGAACACAAACTCAACAAAAAATATGAAGGTTAAAAGATTTAGATTCAGATTTTGTTTAAAATATTCACTTACAAATGTGTTTACATTTCACACCCTGTAATATCCATTAAAATATAAGGCAATCAGTCACAATATCCATAAACTATCTTGCATATCTGTGTATTAAATTTGAGAACTTGAAGAAGTCAAGTTCACTCTAAGATACGCATTATAAAGATGTGTTCTTCAAAGTTTAAAATGATTAATCATGTTAAAGGGTGTCTCAAATTGCACCTAACATTTTGTAATCAATTAATCATATTTTATTTTTAAAACCACTCACAATACTCCCATGAATCATATCTCAGCTAGTAATACTAATTATATATTTTGAACCTTTTCATTCCACAAATTGTTACATCCAATCTGCATGTATTTTACAAAAAATAACAATTATGATGCAAAAACAGTAGGCCATGAAAATTATTTTTACTTTTGAAAATAAATGTGATTTCATTTACTGATGTACAAAAATGAAAACTTAAAACATTCTTTCAAATTATCTATGAATTCTCCTGTATTATGTTACACATGTTAAAATATGCATATGTAAGTTTATTTTGAAACAGAAGTATTGGAAAAATATTATATTAATCAAGTTTAATTTTCATAAAATATTTCTTAGCTATTATAATTTTAGAATACTAAAATTAATGAAATTCTTCAGTGTCCAGAACTGCAATTTACCTATTTTTTATAAAATGGAAATTCAAGATATTTGTAGCTACAAAGACATTTTCTGTATTGTGTGAATTCACAAAAGCAGAGCAACTGTCCAAAATGTCTGAATTGTAAATTTCTGAGACTGAAATTAAAGAAATGCATATATTTTAAAAGATAACACATTTTAAGAAACATGAACCAAACACTTACCAAGATTCAGGTGATGATAAAAACGGCAATCTCAACTTTTCATTACTGCAGAATTATACTATTCTACAGTGCATTCATGTGAAGTATTCTGGATAGACAATTACTTAAGATAAAAGGTCAAGACTTCCAAGAACAATACCTACCCATGCCTGAACACAATAGAAGTAAAATGACAGCAAACATCATCTTTGTGTGAATGTTATGAGACAAAACCCTCTATGAGAAAAACAAATTAAGAGCACTATTGTAAGGAGGTTCTCCTTTTCTTTTCATTAAATAGAGCAGTGTAATTTCAAACATCACGGATTACTTAATAAGCCTTCTAGTTTCAGCAACATGTTGATCAGTGTTTCTTCACTATGAAGTACAAGACATACAGTAACTGCAAGAGTAGTATAATGTTTTTAAAAAAATAGACAAATATTTAATTTTATTGAATGTTTCAATCCTTGATAACTTTTTTTTTTTTAACTACAAGGGTCTCAAAAAACATCCAAACCATACACATAGGCAAATATGTGACATTACACGTGTGGTTCAAGTAGGTAGCTGCGTCGGCATGCATAGGCTACAAGGGAACAAGTAACAAGGTTTATTCCATGTTGAAAAGAGAGGAAAATAATATTTTTTTTCTTCAATACTACCCTTTGGTACAAGTGTAATGTTTTGGCTGTGGAGCTATGTCCTGATAACACCTGAAGAAGGTAACTTTGAAATTGTCTTTGAAATCCCTATGGTATAGTATATGTGTAAAATGTGTAAAGCATCCGAGTTTGAGCTTTCAGAATGCATAAAAAACTTTTAGTAGACAAACTAGTAGACATGGTTTCATATTTTTCAAATGAAAAATTCATATTCTGCATCTAAATTAAGAATAAACTTTAAACCTATTATTGCACACTTGTAATCAATGCATTTCTGAGATTTATTTTGGTTAGTCTAAGACATTTTGCATTATTCTACTGTTTTCACTTAATGATTTGAGAACTTTTACTGAAAATGACATTTTGTTTTTAGGTAACACATCTGCATTTTTACTCTTAGTAGGGAGGACTGAATCAATGAAAACAGTTAATCAAAATGAGCACATGACAATAAGTCATTTTAATTTGATCAGTAAATAAGATGCATACACTACAACACTTCACCTTGACTGCTAATGCTTCTTTGTAAAATCAATCTTAAAGTTTTTGAGTATTCTATTCCATGCATTAAAAAATTAAAAGTTGTAATAGTAGTAAAAAACACTGGTGGTGGTATAATCTATGGGGAGTTTATTGTAATAAAGTAATAAAGAGAGAGAGGAGGCAGAACAATTCAGTAACATTTAAGATAAATATTACAAGACTTTAATTGGTTTACAAACATTAAAAATCTCAATTCTATTTTCTTCATCACAGATGCTAGATAATAAAACTGTACATAATGATATATACACATCTTGTACTGTATACTGTATATCCTTTGATCTAGAGTTACAGTCAAGTGTAACGAATACGCCCCTGCATATAACAGGGATCTCAGCTGCCTGGGCAGAGGGAGTTCTGCTTTAGCTCAGCTGGCAAGTTCCCTGTTGCGTGACGCCGGAGACCTGGGTTCTTGTCCAGGCAGTGAGTGATGAACAGGCAGGGCAGGAGCGGCAAGGGCGGAAACCCCCGGGGCCGTTACACACGATACCGAAGAACATGACAAAGCTGAAAATTTAATATCATTTAGGGACTCCAAAACTTTTTGTCAGAGATGACAAATCTATCACAAAACCTAGAGAGAAGTCAAATTGTTGTAAATTGAAAACACAAGAGTACTGGAGCTCGGTCTTGTTGACAAATACACTCCTGGATCACAAATGATCAGATTTAATGTTCTTATAAGGATATACTCTTCCACAAGTCAAAAGGGCTAACCACATCATTCTCTGCACAATTGTCCCAACAGTATCTGGCATAAAAAGCTTTACTAAAACTGAAAAGTTACTGTATATCAAAAGAGGTGATCTCACTAAAAATATGTTTTATTGTATTTATACTTGCATATAAAATGTTTTAACTACCTTAAAACAAAAGTCTACACTTGACCAAGTCTGAGATGCAAAACACAGGGTAGGTAAGGAACAGAACAAAGAGCAATCTCTGAAATGGGAAAATGTAAATCATCAAGTATCTTTCAGTATATTATCTTGAATTGACTTGGTACTGTAGCTGAGGAGCAATGGAAGTTAAACGTAGATATTTTGTAGTCCCTTTTCCAAACTCCATGGCGAGTTACTGCAGTTAACAATAGTCAAAGACTCAAAACATCCTCTGGCAAAGTTGTGCTGAGATCAATTGCACCTAAAACAAGAAAGACAGGGATGAGGCCAAACATACAGTATATTCTCATTAAGACTACTGACTCAAAATTCCACTGCTTTTACACATCTGAATAATACAGGCTAATAAACTTTACATGAATAGAATGCTGTCGCAGAAACAAGACAAACCAGCTGAGTATGGCTAGCTAAATAATGGAAGCAGACAAAGAGGTCTCAGTTTAGGAAGTTCAATCATGTTTCTGTTTGTCCTTAAAGAGTTCCCTTTATCATTTAATGAGGACAATACTACATTTCTAAAATAGCCTTAAAATATGTGATACACAGAATTGGAGGACAGAAAGCCTTTGAATGCAAATAAATTACCTGTTGCATCTTCTGTTTTTAATTCCAAGCTGTAATTTGTATCGACCTCTTCTGGAAATGCTGAACTTCCTTCATGGGTTTGGAAGATTGGCTCCTCATTAACTAACTGGGGTACTACTGGAACCAATGACTCATCACCAGAGAGAGAATAAGTATTTTCACTACTTTCTTTCTTGGAGTGTAAATCATTGCACAGTTCATCCAATATACTCAGGAAATTATCCGGTACATATGGGACCACTTCGTTTTTCTTTCCCTCCTCAGGTTCTAAGTTGCTGCACAATTCGTCCAACACACTCAGGAACTTACTTGGTGTGTACCGGAGCACTTGATTTGCTGTCAGGACACAAAAAATAATGATGAAAGAGATTACACACATTAAATACACAGAATACTTCCTACACAATACAACACTTGTTAAGAAGTCTGAGAGAGCAAACATTGAGGACAAAATTAATATTTAGAAAAGACACTGCAATTTCCCAGCTCCACACAAAACATTTTAAAGGATTTTTAAAAGTAACATCAAACCAACAGCATGCTAATTATATTAACCCTTACTGTTTTTCTTTAGTTTTCCATGTCAAACTTTTTATGTCAAAATGCACCACACTATAATATTTGGTGAACAGAATGAAATGTCAGCAGAGGAAATTAACCTTCAGTGCTTCCTGGCGTATCATTTGATCCCTGTGCATCAAAGGTGCTCTCATTCCAGTCTGATACCTGAAGAAAACAGGCTATGTTTAGAAAGAATTGTCTGTAATACATATATATTCTATAAAGGATTTCTAATTTTACAACAAATTTGAATTACTGTTACATTACTGTATAAACAGCCTCTCACATTGCAACAAAATATCCATAGCAACTTTCACCAAATTCAATATTACTGTGTATACTAATGTAATGGCTGACCATGCGCTCTGACCCAAAGCTTCTCTCCCTGTCTGTGTGTCTCATGGAGAGCATAGTTGGGATATGCAAAAAGACACATTTCTAATACAAGAAATTGTATATGGCCACTAAAGTGATCTTATCTTATCTCTTAATACTGTGTTTACTTACAGGTGTCACGTTAAGAATGTTCTCTGGCATGTTTATATCTATAGCAGATAGGTCTGGATTAAAAAGCTGTAAAAAGGACAATAAGAATTTGAATATGAATACAAAGAAATATAGAGTAACAACACAGCACATTTCAGTTACATACAGTAACAACAATATATTATTGCCAATGCAGTGCATACCCACTGCAACATAATTATTGTAAATTAACAATTAAAAGTGAAGCCATGAATAAGAATAAAGGTCATCTTACATCACTGATGAATTCAGGCTTTATGTTGAATTGCGTTCCTGCAAGCAATGTCTGCAAATCTTCAAAGTTGGAATCAATGCCATCTGTGAAGTCCTGAATATCATTCCTAAGGTGGAAAGGGTGGAAGAAGTATACACTGTTCATTAGTTAAGGTTTTAGACAACATTCAAAAATGACCTTGGACTACATAAACTTATCAACCTGACTAATATACTCCACTGAATTGTCAAAAATGAGAAAAATTAGTCTTCTTGCAGTCTATTCTAAGACTTAATACAATCTACCTGTATTTTACTAAATTAAGAATGATGGCAAAATATTAAAACAGGGAAGTTTTTAATTAGGCTGATTTAAAGAGAGCCACAATACATATTTTTGTTTACTAATATGTGTTCATATAAATTATCACTTTCATTATTTAAAAAAAACAACACATCCACTATCTTAAATTTCCTTACTTGTTAATTACTACTTTGCTTTGAGGAGGTGCCACAGAAGCGTTTTCTTCTGTCATGATAGAATCTAAGCTGCCGTCTTGCAAGTTGCTGGCACTTTCTTTTGTTTCGGATGGTGCGGCTTCCTCCCAGACATCAAAAGGTGCAGAATTCTTGCTTGAACAATGGCCGACTGTTTCTGGGTCTTCCATTGCTATGGATTTAGAGATGTCATGACCAGAGGTCTCAGAAATTACAGGACCAGACAGAAGATCCCTGTAAATGTTAAATTCAACAGTGGTTAGAAGACACAGGCCTGTTTTGCTTTTTCTGTTCCAATTTATCCAGCTGAGCTTTGAAAGCAGTACTTATGTACAAAATGTTAAAAGTATTTTGTGCTTGACAATAGTCCCTCCTTTGGAGCAGCACATATTCTGTACCTCACTAGAACAATCAACAATCAAGTCTGAAAAATGCTTCCAAAATCAGCTAATTCTAAAGGACTAAAAATGCATAAATGTGTGCCTGAAAAGGCAAGAAGATGTAGTTACTTAATGTATACACTATAACTGAACTTAATAGTTTGGTTTAGTGGAAAAAAATAGTTTTGAATATTTAACTGAAAAATACACATTGAGGTAATGTTTTTGTGGGCATTTTATGTATTGTCTATTCTAGTAACTCCAAACTCACCTCTCAGTTGTGGATTCTTCTGTGCCAGCTGCTAATATCTCATCACTTAGGGCTTGCTTGGCTTTATTTGTGACTTCCACAATCCTTATACCACTTGAAGATGAGGCTTTAAATTCATTATTGTTTGTCTGTGTCACCTGGGAAATAAATTAAGAAATTCCATACGTAACACTTGAAAAACAAGCTTATTAATTACTTATTATTTGCTGGATAAGTTGTTTAGTTGTCCCTATAGTTCCCTTATGGGGCAATTTTACATAAGCTGTAGTCCTTTGAAGAAAATACTCATATGAAAAGTTAACCACAGAGCACATAAAATGCAGACTGAAAATTCAGTTTATTAATCAACAACACAGTTTTGCAACCATCAGGCTATAAAGAATTAAAATACTTTTATAAAACAAAAGTATTAAAAGATCAAACAAAAAAGCTTATATTTTAAATAATAAGCATCAAAACAAACTTATCACCTCATTTATGCATTGTTTAGAAAAATAAAGTACACAGATTTTGGATATTAATTAAGAGTTATAAATTATTTGATTAATTTATAGTTCATGAGTGACCATGATATACCTGTAAACCTATGATACGTGAAGTCTTAGTCAACTCCTCTTTAGTGATGGAGGCAATGAGTTGAATATCGGGTTTGGTTGAAGTATTTTAAAGGTTGAACAAAGTCACCTCAAGTGGATTCCCTAGCACTGGTGCAAAGTCCTCTTTAATCAAGTTTTATGTAGCATACCCTCATGTATTTCAGCGAATGTGCAGATGTGCAGAACAATATGTTACTTGTTGTGAAAAAGAGACCACTTTATGAAAAGATCCAACTTTTTATAAAGAGAACTCCTCTTGTAATGATAGATGATAACCTGTCTGTACAGTGCTACACTGATCAAGTCTAATCTGAAATCTCACTTGCTACCATCCCTGTGACAACATTCTAGCACAACACCACACATCCTCATGCTACTTGTGTAACTACAGATTTGTGTCAAGATGAAAATGTACCAGTGATGCCAAAGATGGCCTCTTTGCCAAACCTAAATCCCACTGAACATTTAACAGGACAATATGGAATGACAAGGCATCTGTATGGCTGTATGGCTCCGAGACCTATGGAAAGGCACATACTTTTCCTAACTCAATAAGATGAATGGGACAGAATCCAAAAAGACATCTGTAACCCAAGCAGAACAAGTATGCTTGTACAGCTATGCACCCCATTTTTTCAATTACTAGTTGTTTAATGTATTCTGATGTGGTCTGATGTGTTGTCATATTGAACAGCATAATGCATTTACATTTGACATGTCTGATCAATAAAATATCAGTAGACCTGCAACAAAAAAGATAATTTATTCGATAACTCTCTTTCAGTTATTAATATTATGTGTATTTAGATGTACAATATATATGGGTTTTTTTTTCTCAATAATGTTGTTATGTTTCGGAAAGCTCCACTATGTTTATTTGGGGACACCAGATACCAGTTTGGCTGGTTTAGGTCTGATATACATGTATAGGATTTCATAAAAATTATGAAAATGGCAGAATATCAGTTTGAAAATAAAAAAATAAAAAACATTATTCAAAGATGGAATGGTTTCTGTCATATTCTACCATAACAGACAGATGTGTATTCTCTTTCTTTATGAATGTAACATAAATACTAATATCAAAACGTCTTTAAAAATTGAAATCCACATTTACAGAATGACAATTCTTCACAAAACTAGTAGCTCTAAATTAAAATAATTGTAAAACTACTGTAAAACTATTGTAGTTATACTGAATTTGAATATTAAAAGGCTAAGTTACACTAGTAGCACTGATCATTGATGTAACTGTGAGTACTTTAACTGTAAGTATCCTGTAACCCTTAATCTCCACGGATTTTACTGTAACAAGATAAACATAGTGAAATCTGGTGTCATTAGAGTTATCATATACAGTAGGTACTCCCTGATCTCTGAAAATCAGAATTATTGTTAAAAGTGTCTGCAGCCTCTATCTTGTTACTGTATGTGTGCATTGCCTGGAATAATTTCTGCTGTGTATTTATTACTAAAGAACGTTAATGTGTATTACTGTATTAATTCATTGAGTACTGTAATGCTAACAGGTGTAAGTGTGATTGTACAATGTGAGAGTATGTTCTGAATTACAAAAATATTATTATTGATTACGGAAAGCATTATTGATATAGTATTCCATAGCTGACATAAGTGTTACCTTCTGCACAAACTCATGCAAGCTGTGGAATACCTGAATTCAACAATACTAAACATTATGGAATACTTTATTTATATTATGACACACTACGTCTGAACTATGGCAGATGTATTAAAGTAATTGAGCACACCCTTTCAACAGCATCCAGAACTACCAAAAGATGGATGCAACAGAAGATGCAAGTTTATGAAGAAAATGCTGGTTAGTAAAGCATTCCAGTAAGTAAAAGGCTGCATAGTTAACCTTTTAATGTAATGTTTTCAAAAGTTCATGGAATGCTTTGCTATTCAGGTTTTGTTAATAACTTTATTTGAAACACTTTAAACTAATGATACCTTTCACTGTATTGAGAAAGTGGCATTAAGAGTTTAAGTATTTATGCATTGAAAATTTACAAATGTTTGTCACAATATTTACATGATTAGATATCCCTTTTGAAGTCACAACAATGAATTTTTGTGGAGATAAAAGCATTAAGTACTGAATATATCTACCCCTTCATGAGAAATGCTGAGGCTGACTGAAACCCCCCCAAAGGGAGTCAGAATTCCAAGACTGAACCTGTAGATACAAGGAGATCCCTTACAGTAATTGAGAAAATATTAACGTAAATGCATTGTGAAGGAGAAGACAACATTGAAAAGGAGTCATAATCTTTAAATATAAAAAATAAAATCTAAATTCCATTGACATTGCTGTTGTACTTACACAATTTAGATCACAATTTATGAACAGACGTTTGGACATAGAATTTAACATTTCTACAGTATGTTGTCAAACTACCAACAATACTGAATTTACAAGGTATTTTAAGAAACAAAAATACAATAATACAAGAAATGCAGTTTCTTACTGGGACTGTGTTTTCCTTTCTTTTCAGAACAAAGTCTCTACTGCATTTTGCAGGTGGTGCTTCTGACAAATCTATCATCAGTGGTCTAAAAAGAAAGAAAAAATGTAAATTATTTTGAAATCCAAGTTACCTAGTAGTTATGGACAGAAAGGCAATATATTACCTTTTTCTTTGGAATCCAACAACACAGTTTCCTTGCACAAGGCTTAGTATGAACTGAATCACCTGAAATAAAATGAAAACAAATTTTAGAAGAAATACACTCAGCTGACACATAAAGATATGAACTGAATCTACACAGCCAAATAATTGTGTGTACAATTGTGTGTAGTATGCAGCCTGAGTATCTAAAGAAACTGATCCAAACATTCTCATATAGTAATGGTAATGTAAAAGTTTCAAATAAACTCCAATAAACGGTGTGAAAATAGCCCAAATATCAGACTTACTTTGATTGTCTCTTAACTACACACATCTTATGATTTAAAGTATATTGGACAGGACAAAAAAAAACTTTACCAGATATATCTTTATACTTCTTTATTTTTATAAGGAAACAACACATACTATAACCTTCTCCAAAACACCTACTTATCTATATTTAAGGGATACTTAATATATCCCTATTCCTTTACGTGCTGTAAATCCTTCATCCAAGTCATGTAAAAAATGATGACAAAAAATACTAATTCACAGACCAATGCACTGCAGACTGTATTGTAATTTAAATTAATGCTGGATGGGTTGACCACTTTCAAAATGATTGGTCAATACAGGAATTTAGTTCACATTACAAATGCTATTCCTCTGCATTTACAGACATTCATTTATAAATAGGTTATTTTTAGATATACCTGCTGCTAGCATGATTTGATTTGATTAACAATTATATTGCATTTGTTAATTCTGACTTGTGCACAAGTTTAATAAACTTCCCTTAGAGCACTTTTTCCTCATTTTTATTTTGTTATATAAAAAAGCAAGGATGATAAATATATGGAAAAGGCAACAAGATGAAGATTTCTACATTTTTCTATGGAAAGTTATACAGGGTTATTTAGGCTTTACTAAAAACAAAACTAGCATTTCAAAAGCATGTTCGTAGAATAAGAAACTAAAATTCCAGAACTACAATTTATTTTCTCAAGTAATTTCATGCTTCTATTTCGTTACATACCTTGGCAAGTGTTTTCTGCTGTTGATTGTGCTTTCTTCGTAGTGATGCAACCTCTTTCCATAAAGTTTCATTTTCTCTGAATTAAAAAAAGAAACATCGTACTTCAATATCTAATAGGTAATGTCTGAACTACACAAGGGGGGAAAAATCGGTACAACTGTGTTAACAGAACCTAATTATGGAACGTTTTACCCAGGAAAGTTGTATGGAAGTTTATTATAGAAACACAGGTTTGAACTTTATTTTGCTTTCACAGATACAGAAGTTCATGAAAAATACCAATCCTTGGCCTGATATCCATTTCACATAATATTAACCTTTTTTTTGGAAAATCATTTTCACTTACATACCTCTTTATATTTTGGAGCTTTTGATCCATGTCTCCTTGTTTATCTTTCATTTGCTGCACATTTTCCAGTACTTTGTACATGTCTTCATGGCTTATCTTGGTATCTTCTGTTCTTACAGAGGACACCTATTATTTTGGAAGAATTACAACCATATTACCCCATGGATTTTCAATACAATTATATAATCTTGGCTTTGATATTATAAGTCACTCCCTCTTCCAGAAACCTAACCTTTAATTTACTGTGGTTTTGACTATCTACACAGAGGTTTCTGTATACCATTCTTACTTGCACAATCCCCCCAAATTTTGAATATCCACAAGTTTGAGAACTACCTGAGACCTGTGATGTGTACTCGAGATTCTTTTTTATAAGAACAGGAGGGAAAAAACAAAACAAAAAAAATAACAAAGAGGTTATAAACCAAGAGTCTTATAAAATACCTTCTCAGACAGCCTGCTTTGCAAGTAAATGTGTCCACAATTTTGTCATGCTCTTTAAGTGTTCTGTGCATACTTGTGGACATTACTGCATTGGGATTTGATGGTTATTGATATTTGATTTTGCAAGAATGACCTAGTGATTCCCTAAAAGTGTTACTCATCAGTTAATAAAGAAATTAATAAATAATTTAAAATGGCTCCTAAATGAAGGAGAGAAAAGGGTCCAATGTTGCTAAGCAACGTATATACAGCAAGTGTTTTTAAGGGCACTTTGGGATAATTCTGGTCATGTCTAGTAAAATGAAAAGGCGTGATTTGCCAGTGCTGAAGTGACCAGACATAATCAAACACATAAAGAGGGTTGTGACTAACAGAATCTCACACTACCATTTATAGAAGAACAGGAGCAAACATGTGGTTCAGTCACCTATCAAGATAAATCTGTTTAAGTGCAGTGGGGCAAAGTATCAATACACATTAAAATAAGACCAGGTAATGACTGACTAAGGCATGTTATAATTCCTGGAAAGAACCCACTTAAATTATCTGCAGAATTCACTACACATACAATATCTGAGAATAGTAAACCCACTATATTTTTACCTTTGATGCAATGAACACTTAGACTAAATATTACTGTGCCTTCACAAACATTAAATATTGGCCTGAAATATTTTATATAAAGTGCAATAAGTATACAATATTTCTATAATTATATACATTAATAATGTTTAACGATACAGATTTCTTTTTATTTTAAATGACTTTGGGTTTGCATAAACTAAAAACTATAAAAAACGTAATGCAATACTGAAAAAAAGAATGACTGTCACTGTTTTGTTTTTACCTTACGCTTGATAAACTCCAGTAGATCTGCTTTGCCTTGCTGAAAACAAGGGTGATGAAATTCAAGTACATTTTGTTTTTTTGATTTAACCAGACCACCTTCAATGTTTATCAACTTTCGAAATCCATCTGGAAAGAACATAAAATGACATGACTGAGATACATCTTAGCTATACGACATCAGGTCTAAATTCTAAGAAATGATAGGAAACACTTAACAGCCTGTAATATTAAACCACTTTTTAGTGAAGCTGAGATACAGTTCCAAGGAGACTTCATTATGTTGGCTTATTCCATGGCAGTATATAAACTGTTACATACACTTCAATAGTAAAATAGATGACTTCCATGATAGCACTTTGTCAGCCAAAATGATGTTACCAGAGGCATAAAATAACATAGGGGGCACAGAAGTACATTTCAGGACTTCAGAGAAAGAGGATACAATAAGAAAATACCATTACAGCAAATAAGGTGAAATAGTCACCTAAATATAAACTAAAAACTTTCTTAAAAGACTAATTATGCTCAGTGCAAATGCATCATAGTACAACTATGAGTGGCATGTAATGCTGCTTCATATAGTATAGTCAAAATGGTCACAAGCTTACACATTTGTAGATGAGAAAATATTTATACAGTTTCTAATTGATAACCATAAGCTCACTGTTTAGTTCTATTCAGTATAGTAATATACAGTCTACCTACTCACTACTTCACCATGCAGTATGTGTGTGCTCTTTGCTCTGGTTTGTGCACATTTTTTAATATCTTCCCGCAAACCAGCTTACTGTCACATTATACGCTGCCTGTCAATGCTTTGTACTTACTGTGTAACCATAAGATAAGAGGAATAATCACAGAAATACATTTCAGGATATCAGAGAAAGAGGATACAATAAGAAAATACTATTACAGTATATATTGTGCTACAGTTTATTGGGCAGTCCTGGTAGGATACAGTTCAGTTACAAACATCCACCAACATCACTGCATTATGGAAGACCACACAATAATCTGTTTACTAAGGATGGAAAAAGTTTAATCTAGGTACCTTGAGAAAGATTTTGTACAGTTTATAGGTTAAAATGCTCTATTTTAATTCTTGTCAAATATACAATATACAATTCTTTCTAGTTAAAAGTCCTCAAATAATCAGACAGTGTGTGTCAGCCATTTAAAAAAATACATTAGAAAACATATTTTATTAGAATGATTAAAGAAAAAATACTTAAACACTTTTTTTAAGAATATGACTTTGCGGAAGCAAAACAAATCCATATGTAGAGGATCATAAAAGTCCAAATCAAACTGTTATATGATATGTCCAGTTATGTAATATAATTTCTCATACTGTACATGCATTCAAATTATATTTTCATCCATGAATGATATAATGAATACACACTTTCTATATATTAAATGACCATAAAGGAAACTGGTCAACATTTACCAATTACCAATTGGAGGTACAATAGTGTTATTTATACATCACTTTTCCCATTTTAAAGTTTATGGAGAGCAAGGAAACACTTGTGACTATACAAAGCAAAACAAAGATCTAAACTACATGACATAAATGAGATTATGAATCATGGAAGTGACACCAACTGATCGGGGCAAAATGATAATTTGATGACAACATTGCTAAATTTTATACTTACACATGTTGAGCTGTCGTACAAAACTAGACAGGTTATTGTGTTTGAAGTATCTGGGAAGGATTTCCTCAGTGAATTTCTGTTCATCGATGATTCTGAAATTCATTCCATTCTAGGGAAAAAAAAGACAATGAGTCACATTCTTAAGCTATTAAGGTAATATATACTAGACTATTTGCATGTTTCATATACTGTATGTTTCACTGAAGGAAGAAGCCATTGTTTTATATATACTGCATATATACAGTACATATCCTTTGTCTCTAAAAGCTTGTAAAAAAGGTTATTCAGAATGAAGTACAAAAAAGATCATGGGAAATTTACAAGCATTTATGTTATGCAGTACCTTAAACATTTTAATGAATTTGGTAATCAGAAAAACTGTTTTCCTAAAAGTAATTTCCTACAAAATTTAAAACCTCATTATTCTCAAAGACAGCTACATTTTATCTATGCACATAATGATGGTTGTTGGTCTAAACATAAACCTGAGTTAATTTTCCAATACAATCTCTTATATCTCTCATAGATAATAAAAAAATCGTATGTTGTATTGCAGCTGTCACTGTATATACATAATTTATTCTACGTTTATTTACACTGTAGTATAGTCTTGTATTTGCTGTTGAAAACTAGCGATAACTACATTATACGTGTGTAAAGACCTTTTTGTAACCTTTAGTATTACCTCAAAAGGTACAGTATAACCTCTAAGGTTCTAGCACTGTAACTTTTGTGCGGTTTAACCAATGATAGGGATTTCAGAAATAGATATTATGCATCCATTTCAAAAACAACATATACAAGGAAATTAAACGATCAGTATGTTTTGTGAGAAAATACTATCATTTCAAACAATACATTTACTTTTTATTTTATTTAAAGACGTTTCAATTTATTTATTGTGTTTTGCTCTTAATTTAATTTGAATTGACCATATTTGTCAAACAAAATAAGTAGAAAGTTCTAGTTTTTTAAAATTGCGTCACATACAGTAGCTAGCGTGTTAAGTAAGTCTGCGGCCTGGCTAGTTTGATATTTTAATACAATTAACATAAAATAACGAATTGCTACACCAATCATAACTGAAAACCTAAGTTTAATTAATCGTCCGCCATATATATATATATTCAGCACGATTTAAGCTACTGATAAAGAGGGGAAAAAAAAACGAAACAAAAAAATATTCTAAAATAAGAACTCCCTGTGTGTGCGACCTTACCAAGCTCCAACAAATAGTATCATTGGTGTCTGAATTATCAACCAAAGTCCAGAGCTTTGAGACAAATCCCTGGAGATTGATATTCTGTTTCACCATTTTGATGTTTTTGGTTTGCTTCAAGTGGCCACCTAAAGAAATAAACACGCAAACAATACGTCCTCTTCCGCCGTAACCGAACCTTTAGTAGTTGATTGTGTTAGTGCATCCGTACGTGGTACATTCCACTTCCTGGTTTTGTCTGTTTCGTAATACAGCTGAGCGTAAGGACTTTATAAACACGTGCTGAATCATTTTGCCCCGAATGTTAAAATAAAAAATCGAAAATATTGTTTAGTACGTAAAATGGTTTTGTGATGTGCATTTTGGCTTGAAAACGTAACTTGTTTATTGTTCTAAAACAGGCTTTAAATGTATAATACCCTTTGATTTGTTATGAAGGGAACGAAGTGTTTAGATTTTTTAGTACATGTATCCTCTCTAATAACCACCTTGCGCGGAAACAGACTGGACAATAATGAAATGATGAAGTTGAGTCGGTTTCTGGCTTGCTGCAGTTTAAAGATATTTTTCGAGGTAGGATCACATACATGATTTGCGGTTAGGAATTTCTACACTATTATTAGCGGACAGAAGAAAATGGCCAAGACTGTAACACACCCTGCGGTATTTGGAGATCCACCGAATTCATTATATTAAATAATTCTTATCATTATGTACATTAAGCACTTCAGAGGCAAAGTTGATTGTTCTAGTGAAAAATTAAAAAAAGTTACATTTTTTCGACACTTTAGAGCAAATAACTTTTAATTCAATTCAATAATCGTGGGTTTTATTAGCATATGACCTCTGTTTTTGTACTGTATTTATGGCACTACTGCAATTGCAAAAGAGGAGCAGGTGGAACTTGTCCATCTACAGTAAGTCACGTACTGTAGCAGCAATGAATCAGTTTCTGAACTAGAAAACATACGTGGGACTTTGAAAGTAATCTGAAAAAATTCTCACGATGATTTAATTTCCACAGTTTACAGAGTAAACTTTATTGTGCTGTAAAAAAGTAAAGATCAGAATGCTTTAAGTACAGTATGTTAAATATGTGTTAGCATATTGAGCGCTGTTTCTTCAGATGAGGGCTCTGTCAGGTTTTCCCATATTTGCAGCACTGGTAAAAGATAGGCAATGCTTAGCTTCCCTGATAATAAACTTATCTTTTTACTGTTAAGACTTTGTCCTTTCAGATAGTGTTAGAAATGTTCTCTGGAGAATTCGCAGTTCAAATGGCTTTACTGGTTACTATTCAGGAGGTAAGGGCAATTTAATTAATTTGTCAAATTTTATTAAACTTATATTTTCACATATCTAAAACGCAGGTGTACTACAGGTTCAATTTTCCAGGTTTTAATGGACATCTATTTATGCACTCAACTGGAAGCAAACAAAAACTTTGGAGTTCATAACGGAAGTGGTTTGCAAACAAGGTTTGTAACATTTAATTTAAAGTTGAACAAACATGCTATATACATAATTCATAAATAACTACAAATAAGGTTGTACTTGTTTCCTGCATAGATTAAAAATTGATTTTGCAAAGTAAATTTCTTGTATGGATTGTTCACTTTGTTGCTATGCACATACATGTAATTGTCTTTTTTAGAATTTTACTACATAGGACCCTTTTACTTTAGAAATAAAAAATTCTGGAAATATTATGGAAAGATTTTAAAGCTTAAACCTGTTATAATGTTAAACCTTTTAAAATGTTTTTTCTTGCATTATTTTAAAAAATGTTGATACATTTTAAAAATATCCCATTTAAAACATTTTGAGTAAACAGAAGAAAGCCTTTGATTGATGTAGAAGAGACAATAGTGAAGAAATATATATATAGTTTATATAGCATATTTAATGTGTCTCTGTTTTAAGTGCTTTGTAAAAATTGATTAAGAAAAAGATCCTTTAAACTTTGCATTTTTATCTTATCTGTGAACATTGTGTCTTCTATCCAATTTTTTCCTTTAAGAATAAGGAATTCTCTGATATTAAAAATATTGTTGCTATTGAATTGTTTTGTTATTCTCTTGTGTCTGAAGATATATACCTTAAATAACTATATTCAGACATATAGTCTTTACAATACATCATCAAATGACAGATTTGTTACGTTACTATTGGCTTTTAAATGAGAAGCAGAGACCAGGAAATGTATTGCACCAAAACCAGGTGTCAAGATAGTTTGAAAAGAAGATACTGTAGGCATGTATACAGTTTTGTCTTCTACAATATTCATTAATATGTTTGTTTTTTGAAGTCTTCATATTTCCTATTATTTACAATTACCTATTATCATATATTTCCAATGGGAATTAGTTCTTAAAATTAATCTTTCTATCAATGATCCTCTCCGTGTCATAGTACTCATTTTCAACTCACAAAATGGTTTCTGAAAATTAAATCTTCTCTTTGCTGTATTTACAGTTTAAACAGCTTAAATGGGTAAATATTAGTCATTTTTACATATTTCATTGCATCTATACAACAGTAGTTTCATTGAGTGTCTTGGGAGAGTGGTAATGTACATACAGTACAAGCATTCCTAATTTTGGCCTTGTACTTTTTGCCAGTAGTTTAACCTGCACTATAAGGAGAAGCTTTTGGAAACTGGGAGTAAGGCAAAATGAAACATATTGTATCCATCCAGATAATGGGGTTTTTAAGCCTGATGGTTTGTGTGAGAGGAGCAACAAGGCTTTATTATTTGGGTATTCGTGAAATAGAGTGGAATTACACCCCAACAGGGAAAAATAAAATATCTGGAAACAACTTCACAGAGGATCAGTAAGTGAACATTTTTTTTTATTTCTGTGAGAGTTAAATAATTAATCAATAAATCAATCCTATTTTCCAAAATATACTATAATTTACTTTACATTAATCTTAGTAAGGCTGTACAGTGCCAAGAAAAATGTTGTATCTTTCTGTCCCCTGCTCCGGCCTCTCACTCCTCCTCCCTCCCAACCTTTGTTCTTCCGCTACTTTACCTTTGCCTACTGCCCTGTCTCTCTCACACCTGAAGAAGGCTCCACGGCCGAAACGTTGTGTTCTCTTTCTTCTTTTTTCAGCATGGAATAAACCTATTGTTCCTCGTATATTTTAGATGTGAAACATAGTCTTCACAAATGTATTAATAAAATATTAAGATAACCTTATTAAAGTTATAGTTATAGTGCCATAAGATATGTTTGGACGATTTAATTTTCGAAATTATATAAAATGAAAATCTTCATGTGATTAAGTACAGTACATGCAGTAACTGCTGGCACCTTCTTGATCAGTAATAACTATAAATAGAGGTTTCCTGTAACTGTTTGAGTATGATATGAATTTAAGCATTTAAGTGCATTCAAGGAAGTTATAAAGTATTTACTTGGCCATTAAGACTATTAAAATTTAACCTGCTGTGATATCTAGTAAGCTGCTGCTTCAGGAAGACATACAGTATGCAGCTTCTAATCTTGGGTTATCATACACATTCAACTTTATTTTAATAATTTATTCATATCAAAGTCTTAATCAGTGAAGCATATCAAATAATCATGAATGTATCAGCTATCTCAAGTGATAATTATTCAAAGCATGGCTTTGTTGGCAGAAAGCATCCACAGACAGTGTGGCCTGTTCAGATAGAGTTTTTGGTTGATGACACACATTTTTCGTAAGGGAAACACATTTCAAGTATATTACTATACTGGTGCAATTGAGAGCTATGATGTTCTTGTCAAAACAGTGATTGTTTGCAGGAACTGTAGCCTGCTACACCACCTTGCAATCTTAAAGGTGCCAGAACCCACCTGTCTGCACAGGCTGCCAGATCTCCCAGAGCCATCATGGCACCCACAGACCAGCACAGCACAAGTCTGTTCAATAGCTGTGGTTTTATCCTTTTAGAAATGTGCAATCACAAAAAAGGCTAGAGTCGTTATCAATTAAAAAAAGAGAATCCACAAGGGATATGTATAAAAACACAAAAGGAAAACAACTTGACAACATAGTCCCAAATAACAAGAGAAATAAAAAATATTCCTACGGTGCTCTCTTTACATGCCATACATTCCTGTCTCCCTATTCTTTTGCAATGCCATAGAATCTAAAGGACACTGCTTTCAGTTTTGCTGACCGCGATGTCCTCTCTCTAAAACATCCTTGACAGGATTGTCTTTCATGCTGGCCCACTGTGTGTCCCCACTAGATATTTACTCAGCTCACTCCAGCTATCCAGACACACTTCTTTCTGCCATACTGAAAAAAAAATATCTCGGCACAGTCTTTCACTTGTCTATCTAGCAACTGGTTCAAGTAGGTACAGTAGAAGGCACCACAGCCGAAACGTTGTGTCTCTTTTCTTTTCTGCATGGAACAAACCTTTACTTGTTCCTTTTCTGCCAAGCAGCTGCCTTGTCTCAGTGGTCCCAAAGAAATGTGTTTTACTGTATTTATCAGGTTGATCATGAGGGGAAAGTCGGCATAAATATGCCAGGGGCTACTTGAGCATGTCTGTATGCAGATGTGCAGTATGTAAACTTGCAGGTGTTGTAATGTTTTGTCTTTCTCCCTGCTTTGTTTCCTCCCTCTCCTTCAGCACCTTTCACACCTCATGTACTGTATCACCTCTGACTATGTGGTAATTGATGGATCTCTAGGCAAAGTGCATGTCACTCAGTTCCATGAAGAATGCTTTCTGCTGTATCGTTGGCTCTAGGGTGGTTAGAAGACCTTAAAAGAAGAGACAAGTGGACACAAAAGGGGACAAAAATGCCACACCTAATAAGAATACCAGCCTTACATGCAGAAATCACATAAACATAGACCCAAGCCACTGCCCTGTTCCCTCTTGTGTCACTCCATGATATTCTGTTTCACTTTTTTGTTTGGTATCTGTTTAATACACCATTACTTTGGTTATGAGAAGTGAACTCACATGCCCTTGTAAATTCAATGATCTGCTGTAAAAAGCAACCATTCTGTCGATAAAGAGCTCTCAGTGGCTTTTTATAAGGCTGATTAGGCCAGTTTAATAAGCCTGATAATTATTATGGAGGGTTACTTCAAATGTAAGGTAGAGACCAAAAGGATGACACTTCTCTCACCCTTAATTATTGCTATAATCCCATCACCCACACACATATCTCTTCCTTACAAGCAAATATGTGTCTGCTTCTGCAGATAATAATGCTCATTAATGACCTCAGATCAATTTCTGAGTCTGGCATTGTAGAATAACAGTTCAGGTGGGTAGCTGCGTCAGCATGCGTAGGCTGCGAAGGAACAAGTAATAGGTTTATTCCATGCTGAAAAAAAGAAGAAAGAAAACACAGCGTTTCGGCCGTGGAGCCTTCTTCAGGTGTCCTGATTACCAGGTGTGGTAATCATACCTGAAGAAGGCTCCACGGCCAAAACACTGTTTTCTTTCTTCTTTTTTTCAGCATGGAATAAACCTATTACTTGTTCCATTGTAGACTAACAGTGTCTTATCTCCTTTGTCTTCTAGAAATATACTCTTTGCCTTTTACAGTCCTACATTGCAAAGTACTGTAAATACATCTTGAAGAGATGTAGCTTTAATCCATGAAATCAATCAAAGCATGTGATGCCCTACAGAGATCTATCTTAAGTAATGTGTTTAGAGGAATATAAGCATGTATTTTTCATACCTTAGTCTAAATATTCTATTAAAATGTAGTACATTGATATAGTCTAGTAACAGGGATATCCTTTAGATGATACAATAAATCAAGATCCTGACTACTTGGTCATTAAAGATTCCATGGCTCTTTTCTAATAAGCCCTAAATTCCTAAAATATATATTACTGTTCTTTTAATTTAAGTTGTCTTTTTTATTAGAGATTCAATTAAGTACCCCTTTAGAAATTCTCAAACGATGGGGAGGATTTACAAGAAAGCTGTTTATAAGCAGTACTCCGATGCCACCTATGCACATGAGATTCCCCAGCCACCTTGGCTTGGGTTCCTGGGTCCTATTTTGAAAGCTGAATTGGGGGATGAGATAATCATTCATCTGAAAAACTTTGCATCTCGCCCATACTCAATCCATCCTCATGGTGTCTTCTACAGCAAAGACTCCGAAGGTCAGTGGTTCAGTGAGAAAGTGGTTGATATGGAGCTGTCAAATGCTTCAACATGTACAGCATGCAGTTAACAGACTTTTGCTTTTCAGTTAGATCTGTTGACATGCATCTCTGTTTGAAAATACATACATTTTTACTTCATTTCTTCTTTGAATAATTACTTTTGAGCTTTATACATCTAGCTTTAACTTTGCTAAAATAAATTTAAGTTAACCAATGGACTGCAGTACCTGATGTATGAACTGAGACATTTGTCAAAATATGTCTGGAGTTAGCAAACTCGATGGGAGGCATATGAAACAGTTTTCTTTTTAAAAGCTCATCAAGGTTTGGGTTGTGTTTCTTTCTTAAGTAGTTTTTAAATCAATTTTTGTTTCATTAATTTTATTTAATTAATTTAATTGAAATTACTTAGTCTTTAAACACTAAATTACATGCACAATTACACGTTAACTAGTGCATTTGGGTCACATTAGGATTCAAGAATAAACCAAGATATTTGTAAAATAAATATTTTCATAAACAATGATTAAATTAGACTTTTTGCTGCTAGAATTAGATTTCTCCTCACCGATTCTTGTTCAGGTGCTTTTTACCCAGACCAGACCTTTGGAAAGGATAAAACTGATGATGGGGTGCCTCCTGGCAGAACCCATACTTACATCTGGACAGTAACTGGTGATCATGCCCCAACTGCCAGTGATCCTAACTGTCTGACATGGGCTTACCACTCACACGTAGATGCACCCAGGGACATTGCATCTGGCCTCATTGGGGCACTCTTGACTTGCAAAAAAGGTAAGATCTACAACACCTCTTCAAATTAAATGGAAAACTTCAGATCTGAAAGCAGAAGATAATTGTATCTCTCTAGACTGTGAAAAATGTTTTAATTTCTGTATTTTACCATCCACAATGTTACAACACTCTTCTTGTTATCTACCACTTTCTCTTTAATACTAAATAAATGCCATAATTAATCAGGAAAACCTGAGCATCTATAATCAAACAGTGGTCAGGAAGCTTTCCGGATTGTGTACTAACTTTATTATAAAGTCAAAACCAAATACCACAGAATGAGTTAATTATTATTTTTTGCAGGGCCAGGCTTTCTCATATATTCATATATAAATTATTGCTATTGATTTATTTGTTTGAAACTTATAATGAGTCTTTTTACATTATGTCACATGAAACTGAGATCACATACTGTATAATAATTTTTAACACACACACAAGGTCAGCCTAGTTTAGTTTCATAAAACATCCATTATGTAACTGAAATCACAAAATTGAACTTGAAATATTCTTTAAAATTGACATCATTTAAACGGTTATCATTATCTTTTTGAGGTGTTTTGGATGGACACACGAATCGCTCTGATGTTGATATGGACTTCTTGTTAATGTTCATGAATGTTGATGAAAATCTGAGTTGGTACGTGGATGACAACATCAACAGATACTGCAGTGACCCTGGTTCTGTGGACAAAGAGGATGAGGAATTTAAAACCCGCAATAGAATGCATTGTACGTCTCAAGGCACTAGAGTTTAGTTTGAATAAAAACAGATGTTTCATTAACATGCCCTTCTCATGATTTTAATCATCTGGTGTGTAGTGGGTTTAATGCCCAATCAAACGGGTAAAAAATGGAAATTGAAATAAATGAAAAGGCAAAAAAAAGAAAACATGTAAATTAATAAATTGCTTCCAGTTGTTCTTTTATTAAAAATAATGTAGACTATTTAGCTTGTACATGCTGTACTACCCTAAAGAAAAATAAATACTGAAATATATAATTTTACATTATCTTCCATTAAATTATATTTATATATCTTCTTCAGCTATCAATGGATATATATACGGAAATCTGCCAGACCTACATATGTGTGCAGGCGCTTCAGTAACGTGGCATTTATTTGGAATGGGAAGTGAAGCCGACATCCACAATGCGTTCTTCCACGGGCAGAGTGTGACGGTCAGCCACAGGCGAGCAGATGTTGTCAGCCTCTTTCCAGCGACCTTTGTGACTGCAGAGATGGTCCCCAGAAATGTTGGGAGATGGCTTTTGAGCTGCCAAGTAAATGAACACCTGAAAGGTAAACAGCAGATTTATGTTAAGCTTCCTTTGCTGATGACAGTAGTTTCTGAAGACAGAAATTCAATTAAACTGTGATGCAACACCTTAGTGGATGACATGGTACACAGTTGCTCAATCTAATCCATGTGCTGACAATAAAGAAAATAAGAACACAGGAAAGAGTGAATTGAAGTCTGGCAGGGAGGAAGCAGGACCAGACTAATATAAATAGAAGTGCATCTAGACAAAGGTGATAGAGGAAAATCTAAGATATCCGCATTTTATATCCATCTTGGAAACTGATCCTAACTTGGTAGTAACACGCTTATTTGTAGTGTGTGGGACTAGAGTCTGAATTTTGTGCTTTGGAAAACCTGCAGAGAGCCTGGATTAAATGTGCTTAATATATATTTGGTAAATTCTACCTCTGCTTTGTTTGTATTAGAGTTGGGCCAGGTAATAAGCACAAGGACATGCTATTCATTTAAGTGCTGGGGCATCCTGGGCTGTCCTTGTTGGTATACATCCATCAGTGATAAAGTGAGGTTGAAGTAGTTTCATAGTGAGAAGAAGTAAAGATGAACCAAGTTTCTGTGATAGGAAAATAGCCATGGATGGGGGAAAGCACAAAGGATGTAATATTAAATGCCTCAATCTAAAATACAGCTTTCAGTCCAAGTGCATGCATTAAAAGTATTGCTGGAATAGTTTTCAGTACAATAGTTACAGTATTATTATACTCAAGAAAGAGCAGAAATTGTGTCTTAATTAACATGATTTCATATGATTTACTTTTACTTTTAAATAGATTTAAAATATATCTCCCTTAAGGTTGACATTCTATCCAGCTTCTCTGCCTTCATCTTTGTTCTTTTGTAAATTCAAAAATGTCAGGTTACTTCTTGACTCTAACACAAAAGCAGTGAGGGTGGAAGAAGGAGGCAGACATGGTTACAGTTTGCAGTGTTATCCAACAGCCGCTTCTCAGAAAGAATCTCTTCCTGGTTTTAGCCAAATTTAGTCATTTGAAAAACAACTTCAATTCCAAGAACGCAGCATGGTCTTATACATCAGAACCCAGTTAGGAATGATTACACATACTCCCACACACTACAAAGACAAAACAGTACCTATGGTAAGTAGAACTGTTCTCTAAAACAGCCTCAGTTTGCAGCAGCTTCAGTGAATTGAAATTCACAGCATGACTCAGTTTTAATCCTTATACTTTTGACAAATATTGCAGTATATGTTTTCTTTGGACACCATGGTGAACTGAAAAAAAACCATAAATTATGCTGACAGCAAAGGTATCCATTGTTCTTAATGACAAACAGTACTTTTCTGTCAACCAATATGTATAGTGGGTATCGAAATAAATGTATTACTCTATGCATGTATGCTTTTAGAAATATAAAGCAATCAGTTGGATATTAATTAAATGTTTTAGACATAATTTAGATTAGCTGTGATTCACTGTATATGCTGTACATGTGCTAGGTCTTCTCATTAATAAGAGGTTTGACTGGGCACAGGTAATGGAATTTAATCTAGATAGGAACAAAATCAATAAAAGCAATGAATCTGGATTTTCTGTAAAATCTATCACCCTGATGCACGAGTGATTAGTAGACGTGCAGAACAATATGCTAATTGATATGACAACAGAATGATCAATGCTAAAATCCAAGTGTGATGGTCTGTGGTCTGGCCTAGGGTGTCTATTCAAAAGTGGTTTAGTCTACAGATCTTCTCTTGTAGTGATTGATACCAACCTGGCTGCGCAATTCTACATCGATTAGCCCCTGGGATCTCATTTAATGTTGATTACAACATTCTAGCAGGACAATGCACTTCTTCAGGCTAGTCATGTAATAACCTCTTTCTTGTGAGATGACAATGTGACAGAATATAGTACCCTTCTCAATAGACATGATCCCCAATGATGGTGAAAGTGAGCAAGTATTTGAGGATTAGTTAGTTAGCTTACTTTATCTGCGGAAAGTTCCTGGGGACGTCCAGCTTTGCATATTTGCATACAGTAGGTTCCTCCACCTGATATTGTTGCAGTAGGGATGAGATAGCCACACTTACCCTTCTATGCTACACAGGAATTACAGGTCCTGCAGAAATTCTGAGGTCTTGGTGGCAACAGATGTAGCAGACATCTCAAAGTGGATTCAGACAGTTTACCACATGGAAAATGAGGGCACATTGTCAGACCAAGGTCTGAGATTTGGAGTGCTTGACTGAAGCTGCAGCAGCTTAGATGCATCCTTTCCCTGGTCCAGGGCATCAGTGTGGTAGCTTCCTCCTGTACCTCTGCCTCAAAGTCAACGTACTGTAAGGTTTCTTGCCAATGAGCTGTCTGCCTGTCTAGTTCCTAAAACCGAGAAGCAATGAGTGGGAGTTTTTGGAGAGGCAAAAATGGTTTATGTGAATGTAGACCCAAATGTGTTCCACTCTTTTGACCATACATTAGCTAACAACACTTATCGAGTTATACCATAGTTTATACCTTTTGACAGAGTCAGTGCCTGGATGTAATGAGCAATTCCCCTCTCCCCCTTGGAATCCATTTGCATTAACACAGCCCTGATCTCCACTTTGTTGGTATGAATGTTGATCAAAAATACCAGCTGGTTTCTGGGAAGACTAGAATTGAGGACTGGGTCAGCACCTCTCTCAGACTCCTTTTCAGTCTCCTGTTCATTTACATCATTGAAATTAGGTATTTTGTTGTAAGACAGTGAAGGGAAGTATCTATGTCAGCCATTCCTTAATAAACTGCTGTTAATTGGACATCCGTTCCTTAGTCAACATCAGTTCCAGCAGTCTTGATATCTCTTCTTCCATATTATTATAAACCAGCCACAAACAAAATGCATCGCTCTAATCTATGTCCATGGACACCACCTCTGGCCCTGCTATGTGCCCCACAAATTTTGCTTTAGGCCAAAGGAAATTGCACTCCTTTTTTATAGTTTCAGAACTGTCGCATATACAGCCAAACACATGACAGCTGATGTATATTAAAAAGGGTAAGGAGGCTAAATGTCAGAGACAGGCCCTGTGCTTTGGCACCAGCTAAATCTTCCAGGTTCTACTCAATAAGTTGAGAAAAGTAAATCATCGTGACCCAGAAATGTGGTCCAGCACCTCATCCATGCAATGTGTTCGAGCAGATACAGGTCCTTTAAGGTAGAATTGTTTAAGTTGTAACAGTAGACAAAAAAACTGAATGTTTATACTCTCTACAATTCGGAGGCTCTATAATTCAGGTCTCAATCACCTTTTTAAAATTTATCCTGTGTAGTCTGCTATTTAGCTAGCAGGCAGCACCTCTGGGAGAGGTAGATAAAGAAACTAGACCCTGTGTCAGTTTGATGTCTACATAAATCAGTGTGAGTCATCATTCTGACAGTATCAAACATTTCCAAAAATGATATCACTTGATACTGCTTGGCAGAATTGTTATTTAAGGAAGTATGTTAATCAAAACAAGTAAAAAAAGACTTTATTTTCCAAAAGTTCTGACATGATTTCTAATGTGACGTCTTTAAGAACCTAATTGAACCTGCTATACATAAGTCTATTTAGGAATGTTGGTGTACTTGAATAGATAATGATGCAATATGTAAAATGTAAGTATTGCTTTGTATTAAACCTAGTGCAATTTAATGACCTCTATTGGACTGGTGATGTAATAATTAAGCTCTAGTGCTGGCAACATAATTGTATAGTTCTTGTATAGAAAGCTGACCTTTTTAAAAACTTTAGCATTCTGCTTTATATCTGTGATTGCAACCCACTCCCAAAAACAAATGACTAAGCATCAGGCATTTGTTATCAAGATAATATAAGAGTAAATGTTCTTCAGAACATTTTGTAAAATAAGATCCAAAAGTAAAGTGTTTTTCAATAAGACTTTAAAGTGTGATCTATTCAAAATGCTTTTTTTTCCAGAGATATATAGTACCAGCCAAAACAATACTTATTTTATGAGCCAGGCAAAAAAAGATTGACAATATTTGAATGAATTCACCCCAAATTAAAAAAAAAGTATGAAAATACTGGACATAAATTTATTTCATACTGTATGTCATATGTTTGTATTTGAGTTTTTCAAAACTTTCTTTTAATAGATGGTATGGAGGCACTGTATGAGGTGAAAGAATGTTTCAAAACAACTCCTAATATTCAAATGCCAGGAAAAGAAAGAAAGTACTTCATTGCAGCTAAGGATGTTTTATGGTCATATGGACCTTCTGGAATAGATGGAGAGACAATACAGAGTCTAATGAAGAAGAGCAGGTATACACCTGGTATAAGAACTTTTTTAAAACTATTGTTAAAGAAGAAGTGATTTATTGTGTTTAGTTCACCTGAATGTGCAGCTACAGTATTCTGAAATTTCTTTCAGTAACACATCAAAAAGAACTGGTGGTGAATACTGGAAAGCAAAGTATGTGGAATACACAGATGAGACATTTACCAAAGAGAAAGTGAGGACAACATCTGAAGAGCACCTAGGGATTTTAGGTAAAAAAAATATTTGTAATCATTTTCTAATTGATTATCCATTATTTATAACAATGCAACTTAATTCTACCAGCTCCTTTAATGAATCTATTGCTTGTTCTTGAGATGTAAATAATTATTTCTCACACTGTTACTTCAAGTTCTCATTATGTGATTGTTTACTTTGCCTATTAGGTCCCTGGCTACAGTGTAGTTCAGCTTGTTTTTCTGTAATGATCTTACAGTCCTCAAGATAAAAAACGCTGGGAACATCATTTTAATTATCAAGTCAGGAATTGGGTAAAAAGATACAATATACAGTAGTATGTTGGATACTTTAATCCACATTATTTTTCAATATTTGGCAACTATAATAACAAAAATGTTGGTAATTAAAAAGAAAGAAACTAAAATCATACTGTGTAAAGGAGCACATTACATGAAGAATCCAGAAAGTCTTATTATCAAATAATACAGTAAGATGAACTGTTTCAACATATGTTACTCCAGGAAATTTACTGTAGTGTATTGCTTAAATTTATATTTTATAAGAATATTTTGTTGTATAAAACAAGTAACTTTATATTTTACTTCACATTAGTGAAAAAAAGTTCTTAAAAAGTTCTTATTAAGACTTATTGTGGAACAGATGCTCACTAATGTACAGTTCTAATTTAAGCAATGTTCCTCATAATTTCTAGCCTTGTGTTGTGAAAAGCTACTTACATACTTCACTACTTTGATTTTCATCCACTGTACTTGGCTCCTTTTGATGGATTAGGCAAATTGGATGATTCATCATCTAGTGCTTTTTTAATAGTTGACATCTAGATTTTACTTTAATGTTTAATGAATATGCCTTCCTCATATTTGTGATATCCATTTAAATTGTGCAGTTCAGTGCAAGGTGGATGTTGTGTATTGCTGGTCTAATCAGAACTGCTTTTATTTTCCAAATCTGACTGAAAAACTATTTTTAAAAGAGATTTCCCTTAAGGACTAAGTGTTATTATTTGCTGTGCCTGTTTCACTGAAAATCCAGTAAAATGTATTCACAGTGGAAAATTCTTCTTCTCAGTATTATAACAAATAAAATCCTAATGCTATGGAGATAATATATTCAATCTTGATAAAATTGCTGTTAAGATGTAAGAGACAAAATGATTAATAATGTCTTTTGTTGAAAAAAGTAAAAATAATTCTACTTACATTCTTTCAAAGGAAGTACACTATATACTGTAATTTCTTATTTTTATCATAGGCCCTGTGATAAAGGCTGAAGTTGGAGATACAATCGTTGTGAAATTCCTTAACATGGCATCCAGACCTTATAGCATCCAACCACATGGTGTCTTTTACAAGAAGGAACACGAGGGAACTCCATATGGTGATGGTATGTGCTAACTTTTTAATTAACTGTTAAAACAATTCCTTCTATACACAAAGAGTATTATTCAGTTTCCTTTAAACTTAAGACAAAGATTCTACATAGAAGCCAGCCCCAGCAGCAAATATTCCAGAAATAATTAAGTGCTTTTTGCAAAGCAGATAAATGAGTTAGATCCTATTCAATACATCAATAAAGAGGATGCATTCTAAACTTAGTACTCAGAAACAAATCTTTCTTGTCTACAAGTCCCTATTTTTTTAGGAAAATGTAATTTCATTCAGTCAGACAACAAAAGACCTATGAGATCCTTATCTGATTCAAAAAAGGGTTGGCTGTGTTAGCATTTGAGCTGGTGACATTTTCTGAGAATCTTCAGAGAGTTTTCTTGGTTTATTCTGTGTATTCTCATGAGCATTTAATTTCTTTGACCTGTTGTTTACTTTATTCAAGTTCAAGTTTATTTGTCAGTCCAGCCATATTCAAGTATACAGAATAGAAGATATTGTTCTCTTGGTCTGCGGTGCGAATACAGACAGACACTGACAAGACAATGTAGACATAGACATTCCTGACAGGGTCTAGGGTACAAGTGCAATGAGTATAGTGCAATTTACTTTACAGGATTGTGCTGTAGTACTCTTAGCTGTCTCCACAGGGGAGCTGTTGATGTGCAGTGGGGAGTGATCAGCACGGGCCCTCCTGAAGTCCATTAACATCTCTTTTGTCCAATCTACATTCAGAGACAGATTGTTGTTTAAGCACCAGTCTGCTAGTTGCTCCACCGCCTCCCTGTATAGTGCCTCATCGTTGTTACCAATGAGGCTCACCACTGTCATGTCATCAGCAAACTTGATGATGTAATTTGCACTGTGCTTTTCAGTGCAGTCATGAGTCATCAGCGTGAACAGGAGTGGTCTGAGTACATAGCCCTGGGGGGTTCCGGTGTTCAGTATCGTGGTACTAGAGACGTAGTTTCCAATCCAGACTGTCTGAGGCCTCTCAGTGAGAAAGTCCAGGACCCAGTTACAGAGGGAGGTTCAGCAAGCTCAAGGTCCCTATTCCACCCATTTAATGCAGGTTTTACATTGTTGGTTGTTTAAAATGACAATGTACTGTAACAAAGAAGGATGCAACCAGAAACTTAAGCTTATCAGCCACATTGTTATGTATCCTACATAGTTTTTCCATAGTAACTCATTTCAATGACATTTAACCATAGGTGTGAACAAAAGCAGATGATGATTTCTGTATTTTTGTTTGGAAGTCAGTGGATTTTTCTTTTTAACCAATTAAATTAAACTGAATTGATTTTTGTGCCATATACTAAAAAATCACAGGGATTGTCTTTATGGCAGCATTTAGCTGTTAACGGAGAATCTGGTAAAAACGGAAAGATTATCATGTTAAACTACTGTATATATATATAATTGTAATAGGTATATATACTGTATATTATTTAAGATGTATTATTTAAGAAACCATGTCTTATGTTATCTCTAAGATGTTTTAGGGGAAGGAACTTCTGTGCAACCCCTCCATAACTTCACCTATAAGTGGTCTGTGCCCGAACATGTGGGACCTACACTCAGTGACCCCCCCTGTCTGACCCGGATGTATTTTTCAGCGGTAGATCCTGTTCGGGACACAAACTCAGGCCTTGTTGGACCTTTGCTTATCTGTAAACCTCGCACATTGAAGTATGATAATACACAGGTACTGTTATCACTTTTTGATTTAATTAAATACTAATCATACAGTATATGTAGACTATAACTAACTACTGTTAAATTCAGAATGCTTTCTAAATCAGAGTAAGAGGACCTAAACTACTGTATAAATGCCACAAGTTTTAGTAACAGGTTGGTATTTGGCTTCTTAGCATTTCTTAAGAGAGTCATACTTCCCTGTGCTTTTTTTGTGCTACATTGAATTTGAAGACACCATTAAACCTAGACAGAATTTAGTTGCAATTTGAGAGGAAATAGCTCCTGGTGAAAGCTCACAATGTCTACCGGGAGAATATGATCTACACAGATCTTCAAATAAGAATTACAATGAGGCCCCAAAAGCTGTGAGGCAGGAGGAGCAATTGACAGACTGCATCTCTAATCATCTGCTCTAAAAAATCAATAAATATCAAAATGCTGATCTCTGGTGTAAAAAAATGTGCCCTTTTAATTTTTCTTTGATGTTGCTAACTTCAACAATATAACATACTCTACTGTATATTGCAGAGCTAGAAGGAAACAGCAAAAAAAGCAGCACTAAGAACTATGCATCACTGATCTTTCAATAGCTTTTAAATCTATTTCTTTTGTACAGAATAAAACGCTAATTTCATGACAAAACAAAACACACTAAAAATGCTTAGTTTTTAAATTATATTCATCACCAGAGATTTTTCTGCAGGTAAATGTCAAACTTTCAAATTGCCGCATGACTGGATAATAGGCCAAGATGATATAAAGTAGGTTTTGCTTTGGAATCAATTTGAGCCTGAGATTTTGATTGATTTCTTGAGGTTGATGTTGTATTAAATTGCTTGAGCTGGTAAATCACTGAATTAAAATGATGTGCTTATTTAAAATGTATGTAGAATTTAAGGCTCAACCTTTGATATTGGATATTAAAAAACAGTGAGGGCTCCACAGTCGCAATGTTGTGTTTTCTTTCTTCTCTGGTCATAGGAAATATAATATTTAAATACATATTCATCTCTATTGACCTCAAAGCTGTAATATTACTTTAATGATTAAATAAAACAATAACAGCAAATTACAATTAATGGTCAAATTTATTTTTCATTTTAAAATAGAAAAGTGAATAAGTACCACAGAATTCAGAGAATCTATAACTAAGATGTGAATCCTTACAAAGATAAATCTTTCATATACAGTTTTATCTCAAGGGGGATCAACATTGATAAACATTGCATTTTATCAAGTGCAGTAAAAATGCTGTACATCTAATAGTGTCCAAATGACTGATGTTAATAATTAATCTGAAGTCCCTTAATGATAAATGCACAGCACATTTGTTTCCTTGCCATTTTTGAACATTCTTGAAGAATGTCCATTAGTTAAATGTAAGTAAAGGTTTAAATGACAGAAAAATTTGAGTAGTTAAAAGTTGTTTTCTTTTGTTCATGCAGAAAGGGATAGACAAGGAGTTTTTCCTGTTGTTCACAGTTTTTAATGAAAATCTAAGCTGGTATCTGAGACAGAGCCTGCTGCATGCATCTGTCAATCCTAACATTGACATTGACAAAGACGATGAGGAGTTTAAGGCATCAAATCTAATGCACGGTATGTCTTAAGCTACAATATATGAAATACTGTATGTGTTTGTTTATACCTTTGAATTTGTTTTTACCTTTGCTGAAATGCTTAATAGTCTTCAAATACCAGTTCTAAGTGTTTGTTCCATGAAATGGAAGGAAAAATCTCAGCTTGAATATTTTAATAAATTTAGAACTTTTAATGAAGTTAAGCTTTTAAGCACAGATTTAAAGGAGTTTTCTTACGCGCTACACACGAGGCCAAGCCTTTCCACTGTCTGGTCAGTCAAGGCTTGTTTGTCCTCAGATCTATGCTCTTGACTTCCACATTCATCTGTAACACTAATGATGTGAACTTTTGCTTGGTACAGCTATCAATGGTTTCCTGTACAGCAAATTGCCTGGTCTGGAGATGTGTCGTGGGAGTAATGTATCCTGGCACCTCTTGGGTCTGGGAGATGAGTTTGATATTCATGGAGTTGTGTTCCAAGGAAACACTGTGCAAGTCAATGGCAGACATAAAGACTCAGTCACACTGACACCTCACACCTCCTCTACACTGCTGATGCAACCAGACAATATTGGTAAGTCTTATTTCGAAGGCCTGATTAAGGAAAAGTCAGGGGTCACAGATTTTTACTGTTCAATTTAAGGGGAATCTGAATGCTAGGAAGTCCTCTTATCCATCCCAAATGGCTTTCAAAGTTAGACTTCTGTAATTCTTATCCTCAGTGTTCAGATTAACAGTACAGTATATAGCACTGTGCCTATCCCACCATCTTTAGTCTGTTGAGCTTCTCAAGTTCATTTTTCTCTCACATTCCCAGTCTACTAGCCCATTGAAATTATAAATTTGTCTGCTGGTGCTTTTCAACATGTTATGCTTCCGATATATGGTCTTAAGCTCAAAAGTACATAGCCTTCAGTCCTCTGTTAAATTAGCAATTGGATGCTTTTTCTAATATTTTGAATTAAAGATGCTACAGTACAAAATAAGAAAGTCACGTATTCTTAGAAATAGTAGTGTGGTAAAAGGACCATGGAAAATCAGGTGGATCTCAGTGACAGAGTTAATTTGGGGGATATTTACTGGCAGTGGAAACAGACTTACGGTAAAATGGAAGTTTTCCATCTTAATCATGTTAGACTCCTTTTCACTTCATTTGTGAAGAATTTGGCAAAGTTATCCAAGTGCAAATTCTAAAAAATCAACTTTTTGTAAACTCTGGGCATCTTCATTTTAAAATACTGTAACTATACTACACTTATAAAAAAAGGAAACAACTTAAAAAACATTTCTTTTCTTTTGGAAAACTGAAAGTAATACAGCTTTCCTGATTTGGTAAATATAAATATAAATACTAAAAATGATTTCAAGATACAGCCGAACCATAGTGGAGAAAGCAAATAGATATTGAAATGTGAGTTTCACATGCATGATATTTAATAATACTATTTGTTTAAAGTGTCAAGTCCTCAAGGCAGTAAAACAATCTCTCCAAGAAACTCGTCGGTGTAGGAAATCTAGCACAGCCACATTAAATTTGCCAGATATTTACATGTTTTTGAGAAGACAATTGGACTAACCTTTATTTTATTATATGAAAAGCTTTCGATTTCTTACAGACCATTCCTTATAGACATCATGGTGCCAATTTATTTTAAAATAAAGATACATAAAAGGTTATACTTGGAACAAAACTAAACATGAATTATTCAATATACAGTACAGTTAGTTTTAGTTTTCTTTGAAGGACAACTTTGACATGCTTTTAATTTGACAATTATCATTAAAAAATTGAATCTTGCAATTATCATTTGGAAAATTACATTTTTTTCCTTTATTGTTTTCTTGTTTTATTGTTGTCACTGTGGAAAGACTGTTGTTGGAAATAACTAGGTCTAATGTTAGAAACCAAATTTCTCTTTATGTGTCTTATTTATTTCCGTTTTTTTTTCAGGCACTTTTGGGGTAATATGCCTGACAAGTGAACATTTTCTTGCGGGAATGAGGCAGCAGTATCAGGTGTTAGAATGTAACAGTGATAGATTTCCTTCTGTACGTGTGCCTCAGTACAGAGTGTCCTCAGTGTATTATATTGCAGCAGATGAGGTTGAATGGGATTACTCTCCTGACAGAACATGGGAACTAGGGATACTGAACAGCTCAGCAGCTGAGAGGTGAGATTATATGCACCTAATTTAGAACTGTGTGTAACACAAAGTATACATGTCACCTTTTGATGTTTAATAGATAGAATAGGCATAGTCATGTATGATGCAGGTCATCTTCCTGTTTTTGATATGTGGGAATGAATATATTGGGACAATCAACAAAGGCATAGACTCACATATCTACTGGGATTTAAATCAAGAAAAGGTTTTTTCAATGTGTGGAGAAGGAATTTATTTAAGTTCGAAAATGAAGTCTAGATACTGTAAGCACGCTCAATAAATACATGAGTGGCACAAACCAACCAAGACTAATAACAAAAGCTGAAGGGTCCTCATTATGTCATTTTCTTAATTTTTCTATCTGCAGTTATGGACATATATTTGTTGGCAAAGAAGGTGGTCTAATTGGATCAAAATACCAGAAGGTTGTGTACAGAGAATATACGGATGGCACTTTCACTAAACTCAAGGAAAGAAAAGGAGATGAAGAACATTTTGGAATACTTGGTACTGTATCTTCACTTTGCCCCATGAGTCAGGGAATGATTATAAATCACCTTGATATTTCAAAGGCTGTATGAAAAAACACTTCTAATTTCAAACATCAGTTGTTTCCAAAACCATACTACGCACTGGCTATGGAATACATACTAGTTTGAAAATATGACTTGCAATTAAAATAGTGACCCCCAGGTAACATCACTTGATGGTAGCTGTTTGGCAAAAGCATCCTTACTCTTCTCACCAACACATGTATGAGTTTGGAATTTGTCCTTGGAGGATAGGTGAAAGTATCAATACTCACTTATTTTTTCCTAGTTCCTGTTAATTATTAATAATTAATATATACCTGTTTTGCCAAACAGTTTTCGGTTAGATACAGTACATAAAATGTGCAAGAATACACAGTATGAAAATATGTTAGTTACAAATATCATTTCACCCAATCAACCCTCAAAATGTTGATCATATAACTCACTAGTGCAGTTGTTTTCTCATCTGTCCTTCTGAGCAGATACGTAGAAGTTTGAAAACATAACATACTTTCATATGATTTCCTAAATTGAGAGTGTTAAATGAATGTTTTGTCCATATGAAAAGGACTAAATTGTAGAACTCTTAATTTGAAAATATGTGAAATATGAAGAGTATGATCTTTTATGAGTGTGTTCTTTTAACTGATTTAATAAGAATCTGATTTCACAGGTCCCCTTATTCGAGCTGAGGTGGGAGACATAATAGTGATTGTTTTCAAAAATAATGGATCTCACACTCATTCCATACATGCACATGGGGTTCAGGAGCTCTATGAAGGAAAAGGCCATGCAGCTCAGCCTGGTACAGTATTTATTGTCATTACTGTCATTACTGGCAGTCCGAGTAAAACCACCGTGGAACAGATCTTTCTTTTTGTTGTTTCACTTGCTTTTCCATTCAAATTCCTTCAAATTTAGACAATTTATAATGTATTTCTTAAGGATCCTCTAATGTATTTATGCAGTGAATTCAATCGTTATATATTTTATTATTTAGCAATTCCTTACAGTTAGCCTTTCAGTGCAAATCTGAGATTGACAACCTATGTCATCATTTTATGGAATATACAACAGGAAACTCATCGATTTGAATTATGAATTTGTTCTTGATGGAAAAACCAACTGCACAAAGCATGTTCTTCAGTTACTCAACTTGTCCCTTTTTTGCTGGGTACAGTATGTCTCACTTAGTTCAGTCGGTTCAATAGTGTATTGACCCAGCTGTGCAATGTGGGGAGATAGCTTCTGCCATAAGGTTTGCCCATTTTGGGGTTCTAACTTTTGCATGGCTTTGCAAGGCTTTTCTCATTTCCACCACAGTAAAGGTGATCCTGCCGGATGCGATTATTCTGTTGAGGAGATAAAGTTGGACAAAATATGTCTATGGCATCTTTTGTAGTGCTCCGCCCTTGTGACATGAGCAGAGAAGATCCTGAAGAGGGATATTCAATTACAATGATACTTGTTGACATGCAGATCTACTTCATACAAGTGCTAAATAACAAATTTGTAAGACCTCTTTTGTGCCAACTTAAGTCCAGGAGCACCCAGTACTCACAGGCCTGCTCCTGTCGTTGCTAGCTGGTTGCTAAAAGGCTTGTAAAATGTTCTGGAAGGTCTTCTTTCATTGTAAAATCCTTGCACACCTGGTCCCACATACTGTATATCAGGTTCCACATGGTTCTTTAAAGCAAGGGACCTTAATCCAATGGCAAGGAAACTGTTATAATTGGAGGTCTTGTGGCCTCTTTCGGGGTAATTAAGTCCGACATCCTGTGAACCCATGGCTAGAGGGTGGGTCAACAAAGTATTTTCAAAAGGTACATGTGGCTTATCAGGAAGGGAAGCATTATCGTCTGATGTTAACTCCACCACATGTTAGTGCTGCTCCCACTAATTGGTCTCTGACTGCTTTTTTTGCAGCCTTTCTGTCGTCTATGGTATATAGCTCTGCTCTTGATTTAGAATTATTTGAGTCCCTACTATATGAGTAGGGGTTTGTAAATATTGCCTTCTGACTAGCTTTAGATTTCACAAGTACTGTTTCTTTTGAAAAATACTTTTTATGGTCAACTGTTCATTATTTTTTTAAAGAAAACAACAGATACACTTGGAACTATGCATAACTATGCAATTCATAATTGGAATTTTGGACTATGCATAATTCACACTGAATATGGAAGAATAGTTTGATGTTAGTTGTTCTTCACTGAGGATGTGTTACACAGTTTATTTTAAAAATAATTTTCAAAATGCTACACAAGTATACAAAGTTAAACTGGGCATAGTTAAAGGGGACAGAAATGGCACCAACCTCTATGTTGAACACTTTGAAAGCACACACTAGGCACATTACAGGATGGAAATAATTGATAGCTAATAAATTAAATTACTTGAAAATGCTTCTGAAATGAGAAACACATCTTTGACTAAAGGGGATGTTAAGAGAAGTCATACACATTGCACTGGAGACTGATCATGCAAACTGACAAACTGAAATTTTGCCTTTTGATTAAAAATGTCTATGATTTAATCAAATATTAGTCAGCAGACACTGTAATGTTGATAGGAATGAGAAACAATTTTTATATTATTTTAAATTATACTGTATACAGTATACGGAATTCACTTTTAAAGGTGAGAACAACATCTCATAAAATGAAGCTCAAAGATGATCTGAAGATAAAAAATTTTGTGGACATATGACATACATATATCAGATTTAAGATTTACAATATACCGTAGTCTCAAATGGTGCTTATTAAGAAAGGAATTGCTGTGGTACTTCGTGACAGATCCATGACAAGAGTCCACAAGAGATATTGTGACAGTACCCTTGAAATCATTGTTAAAATTTCACAAGGCTGAACATATCTTGAAAACATCACTCAATATTCAGGTTGAGCCCATTGCATTATTGTGATCTTTAAATTTTCCCAGAAGCAGATTTTTGCACACTGTTGCCAAATTGATGGAAGAGTTTAATGGCTTATAATTACTATTTAGGGTATTATATGATTGATTGGTATGATATATCAGCTACAGTACATTCTATGCTGAAAAGCCTTTGTAAAGTTTGAATTATGTAGTTAAGATACAAATACTGTCCCAAGAAATTGAAGCTGTAATCACACATGGTCACAGATGTAGCAAATAATATTTAGAGCACATACTTTATACTTCATACATTATAGTTTGTGTATAAGTCCTGAAGCACCACATAAACCATACAAATTTCATTCTCCCTATTGAATTTGCTTATGTTCTCTAAACAATATATACTAAGCTATCAGTATCAATGATACTGAACTAATGATCTCAGTTTATTGCAGACAAGCTTTCATTCATACCATTTAATTCTTTCCTCTTTTCAAACAATTTTAATCAGAATCCTTAAGTTTAACTGGAGACTTCCATGTATTTTGATAGGTTATGGAAATAGATTTCAAATGATCTTGTTTGAAAGGAAAATTGAATACTTACTGTAATGTTGCCACCTGTGCCACAGGCATTGCCAAGTCTAATTACCAGTTTCTGTCTGCCACTGCTCCTAGGGGAGATAGTTATATACAGATGGAATATTCCAGAGCGATCAGGGCCTGGTCCTGGAGATTCAGCTTGCATTACATGGGCCTACTATTCAATGGTACACCCTGTGAAGGTACTCCACTATATTTTGTTTGTTTTTTTTAATTGTAAATTTACATCTACGCTAGTTTCGCAGGTATGTGTAATTATTTACTTATAATACTGTATATAATTATACCCCGGTATATAGTATTATATATCACTAAGCCTGTTTAATTTGGGCTTACTTCTTGTTCTCTGACTTGTAGCTAAGAGCTGTAAAAAGATATTTTGGTACAACACTATTGCTGACAGGACATATTCGTATGCATATACTGTATGTACTGTATGTTTGTAGTAGGCAAACATAATCAGAAGATGATTTGAATAAGGGTAATGCTCCCTATTGTAAGATAATTTGAAATCAATGCTTTTAGGTCACGGTGAAAACAAAACTAAGACCCATGTTACAAGAATTTAAACCCAGGATTTACTCTAAGTATAATTTTAACTGGGGAAAAATAAAATGCAAGCAGTCATATGTCCTGGATTTCTAGTCATGTTTGACAAATGTGATTTAAACTGCTGACTTAAAAAGTATTAAATTAATTCAAAAAGAAAACAAAACTGAAATGTAACTTTAAATCTAGACTTGTAATAGCAATAGCAGAAGATGAAATTGATATATTAGCATATCTGAAATCCCAACGTCATGGCATGAAATTACCGTCAGAGATGTGGGTTTGTCCTCTATATATTTTCTCAAGAGCAAGAGCTATAGAAAAGAAAATATGTTGTCACCCTAATAAGGTTTTTAAAAGTCAAAGTAAGCAAGATACTGTCAAAAAAATATTGTTTTTTTATAGAAACTATGTATAAGAAAATATGCCAGAGGAACATCCACAAATTAATCTATCACTTGTTCTTTACACTGATATTTGGATGAAAACATATTGGTATTTAACTATTATACTTTGAAAAAAACAGTATAACAAAAGCATACATTGGAATCAGCCACATTTGGAGATGAGAATTGTGTTAGAAATATGTGGATTTGTATTGTGTATGCAGGATTTGCACAGTGGCCTGATTGGTCCATTAATAACATGTCGGAAGGGCACATTGACTCCTGAAAGATCCAGAGCCGACCTGGACCGAGAATTCAGCCTCCTCTTCTTCATTTTTGATGAAAATCAATCCTGGTACCTTGACAAAAACATTGCAATGTACAGTGAACAAAACATCTCTGAAATCAATTATGAGGATGAAAGGTTTTGTGAAAGCAATAAGATGCATGGTAAGGCTTGTGACTACTATGTCAGTGGTTTCCAACCTCAGTCCTGGGGGATTTTTTGCTACTGGATTTTATTCCAGACACAATCTTAATCATAGACTTATTGATTTCAGTTTTCTGGGTTTAAACCTTGAATGGGATTTTAAATTGGAATCAACATGTACCATTTTCTGAGTTTCTGAAAAATGTCTCCAATTTAATTTTAAAGAATAAAATTATAAATATTTTATGAGTTCAAAATATTATTTAAAACCTGTTATTTTGTCTAAAGCATGTCTGAATTGTGCATCACACAATTTAATTTTATTGTTGATTTTGTTGACTCAGTTTAACTTAAATGATCGATTTTTGGGTTAGCAAAAATAGTATGATTTTCATCAGTTTTAGAATAGTAGTGATATAATGACAGCTGTGAAGAGGTCAGACCCACAGGTGCCTGTCAAATGTTTTTCTGAAGTGGTACTGCAATTTGTTTTCAGTATATAGTACTGTACTGTATATCCTGGAGATGCTTACAGGAAATTGTCTGGATATGTACAACTTATTACCACGAACCTGCATTAAGATTAAGTCACAAGGTTCTGTTTAATGTTTTTTTTTGCAGCAATAAATGGAAAAATTTATGCTAATCTTCATGGACTTTCTATGTATGAAGAAGAACGCATAGATTGGTACCTAATAGGACTGGGAGATGAAATTGATATGCATACAGTCCACTTCCATGCTCAGAGTTTTACTTTCATGGTGAGTAACTTAAACCAGATTTATGTTGATTTTCTGACAGGTTGCTGTCTAAGAAAATGTCATATCCAGATAATTGCTGTAACATTTTACTCACCCATACAGATCTTTAAGATTACAAAAAATCACTGGAATGAACACCGGAAAGTTTATAACACATACAAAAAACCCGGACATTAATTGGACATAACAGCACATTAACTATTTCGCCAGGTCTATACATTAAGAAAATGCACATTTGTCAACATACATTTTCCCTTTCTAACATTATATAATATATAAAGGAAAAATGGAGAAAGTATTTGCTTTCTGATGCATGTTTGTTCTGCATCTGTTTTTGTTAATGCTAAAATGCTGCATAACTGTAGTTTCTGTGATATAAATGCTGCAGCAGAGCATGTTCTTTTACAGTGGGATTCAATGTTAATTTTATGTTTGGTTATGGCTTTATTCTAAATGAAATGTGACCTGTCTTTACACCATTCATTTACCAGCTGACTTTGTTCTCCTGCTTTGATTTAGGATGGAAAACGACACAGGGCAGATGTGTTTGATTTATTCCCAGCTACTTTTCAGACCTTAGAAATGAAAGTTACTAATCCGGGAACCTGGCTCCTACATTGCCACGTATCAGATCACATCCATGCGGGCATGGAAACAGTCTATACTGTTCATCCCAAAAATGGTATGAAGCTAATTGCCTCTCATTTTGCTTGCTTTTTTATGAGGTATTTAAAAATCATCCTGCATTTCATAAAAAAATAAGACAAGGTCTCATTATGCTTTTGAAAAAATGACCTAACCACAAGCATCCAATAATTATGAATTTGACATTTTGGTGTGACATTTGTTGGACTGTGTTAATTTCTGGAGTTGCATGAGTAAATGAAAAATTACATCCATTTCTGAATGTTTGTTTATTTCTTTCTTAGTGCCTCAGAGATTTGACATTGATTCAGGTAAAATATTTACAGTATGTATTTTAAAAAGCACATTTGCCATAAAGTAATTTAAAAAAGCACAGACTATGATACATACAGTAGATACATGCACCTATAAGGAAAGTATATACTGGTACATAACCTTATTATCTTAGATCTGTTTACTGTATTTACTGTATATTAACTTTACCTTTCTCAGTAACAGATATCCTTAAGGCTAGACTTCTCATAATATGTAAAATATAATATGTACATAATATGGACAATTCTGCCAAAACAAACAGTTGTAGCTTTAACCAACAACTTAAAAATGTTTGGTTTATTTTGTACTACTATATGTACAGTACCACATGTCAGATACCAGCAGGAAGTTTCTTGTAATTTGATTTCCAAATCACAAAAGACAAAATGCATGTCTTAACCCCTTGCACATTTCAGAGTTAAACCAACACCATCTGGAATTTAAAACAAGTTTCATATAATCGCTTATTATCCATTTCTTTTTTTGTAGGTCCAGAGTTACATGTTGGACAAATAGCAGTCTTTGGGAAATATCTATCCCAAGAAGAAGCGGAGTTTGTGTTAACAGTCCTTCTGGTTATAGGTTTTGTTCTTTTCCTCACAGCCTTCATTCTTACTGGAGTGGTTATAGTTATGTCACGCAAGAAAAAACAAAATAAGCACTACCCTGAAGAAGTATCCTTGAAAATGCTTTAGTGAAAATGCATTTTGTGCTAATATCAGGTGCAATCTAAATGCAGCATATATTTATAAATGAGGATGCTTTCTAATAAATCAGTGGTACCAGTACTGTTCGGAATATGTCTCTTGTGGCTTAATATCAAAACTTACAGTACAGTACCCAGGTTATCATACTAGGGCACTGAATTGGTGTTCCCATAGAGAACAGCACCACCTACTGGTCCTTCAGTGTGCTTTGTATCAACCTGCTTTTCCTTGGTGGACTTCCATATCTCTACTAACCAGTCACAGCCTTGCTTCCCATCTCACACAATTCTGCATTCTTACAAGATAGTAATTGTACAATTGTTTTACAGTTAATGATATAAAATGCCTAAGACACAAAGGCAAAGTGGTGAATTAGAAACGCACAAAGCAAATCATGCTTATAAAAAGCTGGACAAACCTACCATATTATTTTATTAAGGAACAAGTAATAGGTTTATTCCATGCTGAAAAAAAGAAGAAAGAGAACACAACGTTTCGGCCGTGGAGCCTTCTTCAGGTGTGAGAGAGACAGGGC